CGGCGGGGGCGGGGGTCCCTCCGCGCGGCGGGAGCTCGGGCGCCGTCGGGAGCTCCGGGCGCCCCTCCCGCGCGGCTCGGGGTCCGGGCGGGGCGGGCAGGGGCGGCGCCAGGCGGCGGTGACGCGCGGGGGACGTGCGGCGCGAGCGGCCGGAGCTCCAAGTCCCCCCGCGCGGCGGCGGGCAGCCAGGCGGACAGAGGCGCGCGGCGGCCGAGCGGCGGCAGGTAGGCGCGGCGCGGATGCTCGGCGGGGCGGGGCGGGGCGGGGCGGGCCCGGGACCCTCCGCGGAGCCCGCGCTCCCGCCCGCAGCCCCTTCCCCATCCCGGCTTCGGCGCCCCCCCACCCCGCGGCGGCCCTACCCCCCCGAGGGTTCCGGGGAGCCAGCCGCGTCCCCCCCGCGCCCTCGGCCCCGGGCCCCGTGCGCCCCTGCGCGCCCCTGCGCCCGCCGGCCCTCGGGCTGGGCCCCGGCCGGGAGGCGGATGCGCGGGGCCGCCCAGCGCGTCGCGGAGAGAAGAGCGCGGTCTCCGCGGCGGGCGGTGTTTGGTGGGGCTGCCGCCGCCCGGGCCCTCCCGAGGGCGCGGGGTGCACGTGCGCTCCCGGCGTGGCGCTCCTGGCGCCTTGGCCTGCGGGCCTCGGTCTCCCTCACCTCCTCCCGCTTCTCGTCGCGCCCAAGCACTCGCCGTCCCACAGCCGCCCTGGGGCGATGGCTCCCAGCGCAGGCCGGGGGCAGAGAGGGAGGGGGCTCCCTCTGAATCAGGCTGGACGCCCTGGTTCGAGTCAACCCCTCCTCTCCTGCCAGGCCCCTAGCCTGTGGGAAACCTGGCGGAGCCTCAGTTTACTTGTCTGAAAAGTGGGTGCACAACACACCTTCAGGGATGCTGGCCCAGGCCAGTGGCCGGCAGGCTGTGAGTTTGGAAGGTTAGCTGTCAGGTCGTGGCCACTGGGGGTGCCTGGCATCTAGGTGAGGGACAAAGAGGTAGCCCAGAGGCCAGAGTGCTTTTCTATCCCAGAGGCACTGAGCTGCACGTCCAGAAGTGCACTCTGGGTGTGAGGGACAGAGAGAGACGAGTGTGCCATCGAGGCTGGACCTGGCCTCTGTGGGTGGGCAGTGGGACTGAGGAGTTGCTCTCAAGCCGGGAGGCTTAGGGCACAGGTGGTAGTGCTGTGGCCCGAGCAGAGCCTTCCTGCCCTGGGGCCTGTGGTGTGGGCTGGGCCTGGGATGGGCAGTGGGAGGCCTGGTCCCAGGGCAGGCTTTGTAATGACTTGGTGTGACCTTGAGCAGGGCATGGTACCCGGGAGACAACCTGGCTCAGGCGGACTCCAGCCAGGACCTCAGTGTGGAGGCGCGGCCGCAGAAGGGGCTGGTGCTCTCCAGGAGAGTGGCTGGGGAGTGTGTGCAAGGGGGGCTGTGCTGTCCCTGGGGCCGGGCCCTACTTGCTCCAGGGTGGGTCCCCGCGGTGGCCCGGCCAGCTTGAAGGAGAAGGGCCAGTGCCACTCCGAGGTTGCGAGTCCAGTAGGGTGACGACTGCCGCACAGAGCGACCAGTCCATCCGAGGCACCCTGGATCAGGCCTCGGGCGGTCCGCGAGCGAAGAGGCCGGGGGCTCCTCACAGGGCCTCCGGGCAAGTACAGACCTTCGGGCTTCAGGCGCCATCCGTGAAATGGGCGGGGCGGGGCAGCCGTCCTGCAGACCGGCCGGCTAGGTCCGAGCTGCCTCCACATGGCCGGGCCCCTGCGGAGGGAAAATGAGGTTGGTCCGGACCTGGGCGGGGCTGCAGGATCTCTTTGGGCGGGCAGCGCTCGCCGGCGCCCGGGGCGGTTCCGGGGCTCCCTGACCCCAGCGGCCCGCGCGCCGCCCTGTACGGTGACAGACGGGAGAGCGCCTACTCCAGGCAATACGGTGGCGGCTCCTCCCTTGGCGCGGTCACGTCCCCCACGTCCCTCGGCCCGGCGAGCGGGCCGGTGGGCGGAGCTTGCTCCCTTCCCACACCCCTCCCTGTCTTTACCGCCCCAGCCCCACCAGGCCCAACGGGCTGGTGGTGGGAAGGGCCCTTCGAGTGGGGCTAGCTGAAGCACGGACCCCGCCCTGGCCCTGGCCCCCTGGCTTTAGGGTGGGGGGCGGCTGCAGCCAGTCCAGCAGCGGGACAAGGTGGCCATGTGATGGGCAAGCCAGGTAGTGCCAGGCTGGGCAGGGTCCAGGGCTGGAGGGGGCTGCTTTGGGCCTGCTCCAGCCTCTACTGCTCCCTGGCCCCTTTGAGCCTTCTAGAGGAGGGTGCCCTGATGGGTGAGCCCACAGCTGTCCACAGGGCCACCCACGGGGCCCATGGCCCCCTCCTTGTCATAGGTGGCACAGGGTTGGAGAGGGCTTGGCCTTAGTGCAGTGTCCAATCTGACGCATGAAGCCAGCATTTTTGCCCCACTGGCCTCTTGTGAGCCCACCCGAGATCTGAGGGCACCAGGCATGCCCTGGGGGGCTTCGTGGTCAGTGGAAGAGGGATGGAGGGCCCAGGCTGGACGTAACAGGCCTGGATCATGCCTGGGCAGTGCCCAAGGCCCACCTCCCTCCAGCCCCAGCTGTGCAGTCAATGGGTGGGGGGAGCAGCATCTGCGGTCCTGCGCAGGCCCTGGGAAGGGGACAAGCATGCTGACCAGTGGTGCTTTCTGAGCCCTGGGCAGGCAAAGGCATCTGGATATGCTGTTAACCTGTTTGCACAACAGAGGCAGTGGGGAAAGGAAGCAAGGGGGCCTGGGAGGCCCTCCCACCCCTGGAGGCGTGGCACTCCTATGTCCATTAACCAGCCCCTTATGCTCCAGAGACCCTCGGGGCTCAAATGGAACCAAGCACTAGCCACAATGGGGCCGATCTCCCAGGCCTCCCTGTGCAGAGGGAGTCCAGGAAGGAATGCAATTGCCCCTTCGTGCCCCGCCCGCCTGGAGCTGGTCTCCAAGGACTGGAAGTCTGCTTAGATAACTGACCAGTCTCCTCAGAAGGTGAACCTACAGGGCGCCTGGGATAGGCCACAGGCTCTAGAGTCGGAGGCCACCTCACTGAACCCAGGGAACATGGCGTGCCCCTGCACCTGACAGACCCATGGTGGGTGCAAGGACGTCAGGTATGGGGGTCTACTGGGGGCATGCCAGGGTGCACTGGGGACGGCAGTGGGTCTACAGCCTGGGGTGAAGCTGGCAGGAGGCCAGGTTGGCTCAGAGACTGGGGCCTGGAGTCCTGACCCCAGCTGGGACTCAGTGGACTGCTAAGGGGGAAGCTGGCAGGCACCCTTGATTTGGGAGGGCACAAGGGCTCCGGCCCCGTCGACTGTGGTCTGCTGCGTGTGGGCATTCCAAGGGATCCCCATGCTTGGCTCCTCCTTGGACCCTCCCCTGCTCAGCTTACAGCTGCCTGGGGCGGTGGTGGGACCTTTTCTGGAAGGGGGGGGGGCAGCTCCCAGAGCCTCACCTGACCCGGAAGCGGGTACACGCGCCCCACCAGGGAGATCAGCTTTCTGAGGCCCAGAGGGCGGGTTATTTCTGGGCTGGGGACGTGGTTTGCATGCTTCCCTGGGAGGGTAAATGTCATCACAAGGCCAGCTGGCTGGTGTGTACCCACAGATGTGCCAGTGCCACCTCCTCCAGGTCCCGACCAGCCCCCAGAGGGGACCACTCCTCCCATCTTGGGTTGTCCTGGGAATGTTGCCAGTCTGGGTCTCTGCTGGGCTTCCTCCCCCCAGGCAAGCTGGGCTGAGAAGGCCATTTCCTCTTGGAAATCCCAGCGCCTTCTCTACTCCCTCCTCCCCCTGCCCCCCTACAGTCCCTCTAAACCTCGAGGTCCCACCCATTCCCTTTCCTTGCTGAGAAGCCTCACTTGGAGGACTAGCCTGTGTGGGGAATGGGGAGGGCAATGTTTTAGCCTGGCTGGTACCCCATGCTGGGGGGTTAGCTGGGAGGAAAGGGAAGAGCCTCTGGGGCCGCTAGGACTGGCTGGGAGGGACGACCATGCTCCCCACGTGGGTCTCCTGTGGCCCACATAGGTCCTGAGCCATGCCGTAGCACCTGCCCCTTGCCCTCCTGGGTCTTAGCACAGGGGATGCCCTGCGTCCCATGGGTGTTCAGCATCTGTCTCCTGAAGACCAGGGAGCCTTGGGGGTGGCCGGGGGTCCAGCCTGGCGGGCAGATGAGCAGAGAACGGGGCAGCAAAGGCTGGGGGTCGTGTTCTGCTGGCGAGTGCCGGGTGTGGCTGGTGCAGCCACGGGGCTCTCAGAGGGGCCCAGCTTCTCCTGAGACCCAGGGGCATGGTTAAGAGCTGCTGCTGACTTTCGGCTTCAGACACTATCTCCTCTTTGGCCTCTGCACGCCCGTTTAGTTTATTTTTAAAAATCAATGAACGTCTGTAAACCCACAATGCGAGAAAAGCCAGGGTTGTAGGGACACCGAGCCCTTCGGGGCCCCCACAGCCACCAGCCCCGTCCTCTGCCCTGGGTCTGCGGTTTGTGCTTTCTGCCCTAAACAGTGTCACCGCACCCGGACGCAGTCCTGAGACGGGTTTTGGGGTTTTATTAAATTTCCCTGCTGCCTGTACTTCGGGGACCTTTTAAGCTTGACGCTAACAAAGGGAAGGGATACCGCAGCTTGGTGTCCCCACTGGAGTGTTCTGGCTGCAGGGCAGCGTTTGCCCATGTCCCGTCCTGGCGTCGGGCACATGGCTGCAGTCGGGCAGGGATCTGGAGGACAGAACCCAGGGGTGAGCCCAGACTGCCCAGGCAGAGTCCAGTCCCAGGTCCCAGGTATGCCTAGGATGCGGAAATGGGCCACCTGGGGGCCAGGTCACAGGGCTGTGGGCACATCTGCAGGAGGACCGAGGGTTTCCTTGGCCTGGGTGCTCCCCCCCCACCCAGGGGCTGGGGAGCCCTTGGCCTCAGGAACACCCTGCACCTTGCTCTCTGGTCCACAAGCCCTCTGAGCACTCGGCGGGGGGTGGGGGGGTGTGTGTGTGCCAAAGGGTACGGGGTCTGAGAGCCCAGGGAGAGAAGAGGTTGTTCTCTTGGGTTTCCCAGAAGCGCTGCCCATGGCCCTGAAGCCTGGCCCAGCCTAGGGTGGGGGCCGGGGCCACGTTCCGCTCCAGTGGGCCGTGTCAGCCTTGTCATCAGCGGGGCGGCCAGCTGGCTCCTGGAAGTCCATCATCTAACAGTCGTGCTCGTCAACAACTGCTTGGAATCACCCAGAAGGTCTTCGGCAAACACCCCCTAACACGTGACACACCCCTGAATTGGAGTCCAGACCTCCCCCCGCCCAGGCTCCTGTGGCCATGATGCTGGGGGCAGGGGCAGGGGCAGGGTGGAGGCTGGGAGGGGGGTTACTTTCCACATCACTTCTCCCCGTCCACGCACCCTGCACTCACTCCAAAGTCCTGCCCCACGTTCCGTCTCCGGTTTGCATACAGAAAATGGGACACCCAGGGGGCTCTGCAAGGTCAAGGATATTGCTGGAAAGGGGACAGGGGGTGGAGCTAGGTGGCTGACACCGGGCCTATTCAGTCTCCTGGTTGGGACCTTCCTGGACATCACTGGAGGTGGAGTGTTCACACCACAGCACTGGCAAGTGCTCCCCATCAGGGCCCCTTCCCCCAGAGCTGGTCTTCTGCACACCGCTGGTGGGGGCTGTCGGGCTGCAGCAGGCCACAGAGTGGGCTGGGCCCCATAGGCCCAGGCCCCGGGGGCTGCCCTCCCTTCCCCGTACCTGCACCGGGGAGGCACTCTTCTGGGAACAGCCTCTGTCAGGTGAGGTGGGGGACCAGCCATCAGCCTCGTCTCTGGGATTAGGGGATTTCTGGCGCTAGGATCAGATGGAGGTAAGGGACGGAGAGGGGAGGCTAGGGTCTCCAGCCGGACGTCTGGTCCCAACATTCTAAGTTACTGTGCCTCAGTGGGGCTAAGTTGTGGCTTGGAGAGGGAAGCGGGCCCAGGGCTGCTGTGGGGTTTCGGGCCGACACTGGGTACAGGCAGCCCTCTCCCCGCCTTAGCAGTCTGGGGGCTGGAATGGTTTGCTCCAGTGGGCTGCGTGGAAGCCTACCCCTTCGTTCAGCCCCCCGCCCACCCTGGGATCTCCCCTTCCTTGATCTGTGGAGTGTGGACAACTGGGTGGGAGGAGTCGGCACCGGCTCAGAGAGGGGCCCTCCTTTGCTGGTCAGAGGGCACGGGTGGGGGGGGATCCTCTGTGTAAGGACCGTCTGCTCCCCGACAGTCTGCAGGCCCCTGCTGGCTGCCCCCGCCTCCGGCCCACACAGTCAAGCCCGTGTGTCTTTGCCCCTTTCTCAGGCTCTCACCCGGGGAGGGGAGGTGCGACAGAGGACCGAATCGGGAGTCCTGCTCCCCTGGGGGTGGGAGAGCACGGCTGACCACGGCTAGCTTAGGTCTCAAGGGACACCACCCCAGGAGGGGCCCCAGGCCCCCTTCTCACAGGACCCGCCCACAGGCGGCGGCAAGTGCAGCCTGTTCCCCCACACGGCTGGTCTCGTGTCCCTGCTGGGGTCTGTTCTCCTCAGGAGGTAACCTGAGACTGCTGAGCCCAAAAAAAGCCACTGCCCTTTAGAGCCAGCTGGGTGGGAGCAGGCCAGGCCTGGGTGGGGGAGGGAGGAAGGGCTGCCGGCCGCCCAGACAGGCCAGACGCAGGTGAGGGCCAGAGGTGGGGCTGTCAGGTGGCTCAGGCCTCGGGACCCTGCTGTGGCTGAGGCTGGACGACTGAGTCTGCTTCACTTCCTTCCTCAGGGACGCACAACCTGCCCTCCTGGCCATGGGTGGCGCCGTGGTTGACGAGGGCCCCACGGGCATCAAAGCCCCGGACGGAGGCTGGGGCTGGGCCGTTCTTTTCGGCTGCTTTGTCATCACGGGCTTCTCCTACGCCTTCCCCAAGGCGGTCAGTGTCTTCTTCAAGGAGCTCATGCGTGAGTTTGGGATTGGCTACAGTGACACGGCCTGGATCTCCTCCATCCTGCTGGCCATGTTGTACGGGACAGGTAAGGGGCCGTGATGCCCAGTGGTCGCCTCTGGGGTTCACCAAGGCCGCTCTGGTTAAGAACCTCACACACCAGCAGGAAGGGTGGGGGACTGGCAGGGGCACCTGGTGTCTGTGGCCCAGGTTCCGGGGCGACTGCAGGGGACCCCAGAGAGGCTTCTGCCCAAAAGCCGCGGCTCCCCACACGGCCACGCTGGGCACACGTCAAGTCTGTCCAGGACATTTTGCTGTGAACTGTGCTTTGCTCAGGAAGCCGTATCCCGGGCACCTGGTGTGTCTGCCAAGCTGGGGCGGCGGGTGTCGGGCGAGGGAGGGGCCGTTCCCAGCAGCGGCACCAGGCCAGGTCTCTTGGTGAGCGTGGAGAGACTGGGCCCAGCCCCGTGTCCCCACCCCCCACAGGCCCACTGTGCAGCGTGTGCGTGAACCGCTTTGGCTGCCGGCCCGTCATGCTCACGGGGGGCCTCCTGGCGTCCCTGGGCATGGTGGCCGCGTCCTTCTGCAGAAGCGTCATCCAGCTCTACCTCACCACTGGGGTGATCACTGGTGAGTGGGGCCCATCCGGGAGCGGGGCAGGCTGTGGCCTGCTGGGCCCTCTGAGGCGGGGGGCAACGGCTCAGGCAGCAGGGGTGCTGGGGCGGCGTGCCCAGAGCAGGGCCTCTCAGGAGCGGGCAGCTGTGGACGGCCCCCCAGGCCTGGCGCCGGTCTGTCCCCCATTCCCCAGTGGTCTCTGCTGGTGTGTCAGTGGGCGCCCGCAGATGCCCACCCAGAGCCGCAAGGACGAGGGCGCGGGTGGGCTGGTGTGACGCCTCTGCCGCCTACCCCTCCCGCAGGCCTGGGTTTGGCGCTCAACTTCCAGCCATCGCTCATCATGCTCAACCGCTACTTCAACAAGCGGCGCCCCATGGCTAATGGGCTGGCGGCCGCAGGCAGCCCTGTGTTCCTGTGCGCCCTGTCACCGCTGGGCCAGCTGCTGCAGGACCGCTACGGCTGGCGGGGCGGCTTCCTCATCCTGGGCGGCCTCCTCCTCAACTGCTGCGTGTGCGCCGCGCTCATGAGGCCCCTGCGGGCGCCCGGGCCGGCTCCGGGCCCCGCGCCCCAGCGGCCGCCCCACCGGCTGCTGGACCTGAGTGTCTTCCGGGACCGCGGCTTCGTCATCTACGCCGTGGCCGCCTCCATCATGGTGCTGGGGCTCTTCGTGCCCCCCGTGTTTGTGGTGAGCTACGCCAAGGACCTGGGTGTGCCCGATGGCCAGGCCGCCTTCCTGCTCACCGTGCTGGGCTTCATCGACATCTTTGCCCGGCCCACGGCCGGCTTCATCACAGGCCTGGAGAAGGTGCGGCCCTACTCCGTCTACCTCTTCAGCTTCTCCATGTTCTTCAACGGCTTCACGGACCTCACGGGGTCCACAGCCGGCGACTACGGAGGCCTGGTGGTCTTCTGCATCTTCTTCGGCATCTCCTACGGCATGGTGGGAGCCCTGCAGTTCGAGGTGCTCATGGCTATCGTGGGCACCCAGAAGTTCTCCAGTGCCATCGGCCTCGTGCTGCTACTGGAGGCCGTCGCCGTGCTCATTGGGCCCCCGTCGGGAGGTGGGTGCTGGGACGCAGGCATGAGCGAGCCTGCTGGGGGGGGGAGCCCGCCATGGAAGGGCTCTTAGCTGCAGGGACCCCAGCAGGTAAACAGCAGGTGTCAGGAGCAAACACTGGCCTTGCCCACCACCCGGGCCAAAGGCTGGCATGTAGGGGAATCCCGAGGGTGGTGCCCCTGCACCTGGGCCAGCCCAGAGCCAAGGCGGGGGTCGGCTTTGGTTACGTTGGGTTTTTGCTCTTCTTTGTGAAGGCTGAGAAAATCCTGGGGCGTGGGCTAGGCGGGCAGCCTGGCCTGGGTCTCTCCAGCCGACTCTGTAGGCCGCCACCCACGGGACCCCGCGAGCGCCAGGGCTGTGCCTCATTGTCCTGGGGCCCTTTTGGGGCCCTAGGCGGTTCCTATGAGGGCCACGGGTGACAAGGCCTCCAGCGAGAGACAGTGTGGTCAGGTCACTCACCCAGAGACTCGGCCTCTTACAGCGGCTCGGATCCAAAGCCTCCCTCGAGCCCCCTGGTCTGGGCTACCTTGGGGGGCGGGGAGGCTGGGACAGGGTGCCCCGGGGCTGTCCCCAACAGCACAGTGGTGCACAGGTAGCCGGTGACCGTGGGGGTGACCTTCAGCCCGGGCTGACGCTGTCACCCCTTCGCAGGCAAGCTCCTGGACGCGACGCACGTCTACCAGTACGTGTTTGTCCTGGCGGGGGCCGAGGTGCTGGCCTCCTCCCTCGTGCTGGTGCTGGGCAACTTCTTCTGCATTAGGAAGAGGCCCGAGGCGGCCGTGGAGGAGGAGCGCCGCAAGCCCCCCGCGGACGTGAGGGTGGACTCCCGGGAGGTGGAGCACTTCCTGAAAGCAGAGCCCGAGAAAAACGGGGAGGTCGTTCACACGCCAGAAACGAGCGTCTGAGCCCGGGAGGCCAGCGGGGGTGACGGAGCCGGACAGAGACGTCAACGCTCATGTTTATTTCACAGTCAGGACCAGCTTGGCCGCCCGCGTGTCTCCGGGGAGGTGGTGGGCGGGGAACCGCGTCATTCCACACTGTGGTGAAGCTGAACCGCGAGGTCACAAGCCGTCTGCACTGGGGACCCAAGCCTGCTGACCCCGGAGCTGCCCGGTGCCCACTGCTGAGCTCAGGGACCTAGAAACCCACGCTTCAGAGACAACATGGCAGGCATCAGAGGGCGGGGCTGGGGGGAGCCCGCGGAGTGGCACCATCTCGGGAGGGGGCTTCCCCACGTTCCTGGCTGCGCCCTAGCCTGCCCCTCGCGGGGTGCCTGGGGGACAACACTCCCTTCCCGCACCTCTGAAGGTCTGAAATAAACGTGCGTGTGGGAGGAGCCACTTTGGAAGGAACCTCTTCAAGGAGTGGGACGTTCTACGTGGGGTGGGGTCTGACCGTTCACTCCAAACTCATTTTCTCAACCATCTGGTGGTTTTTACAGAGTGGCTCTGGCCCCGGCCAGGCGGGTCACGTTTCTAAGCGCTGCTGGTTCTGAACCCTGCCCTGCTGGAGCCCAGACAGCTCAGAGCGTCCACGCAGGGCCCCGGTGGCTGGCAGGGAGGGGGCCGTGCTGCAGGCGTGCGGCCGTGCCCGGCAGCCCGTACAAGGCGTGTGCACTTAAGCTGAGACATACGTGTGCTTCTTGTTCACTGTGCGTGTGTTTAAAGAAAATGATCTTCCTGCCTTCCATTTATTCACCCCTCGGCTGGCGGGTCGTGGCCCTACAGCGCCCAGCGCAGGCGTCTGCTCCCGTCCTCCTTGTCCAGCCCTGCTCGGCCTCGCCCCGGGTACCTCACACCCACCTGCCCTCGTGGCCAGTGGTGGCCTGTGTGGCTGGGAGCCCGGTCAGAGGCCGCTGGGGCCGCCTCAGTAGGTGGTGCGTCGCGGGCGCTGGGGACGGCAGCGGGCACCCTGGCGGGCCGCGTGCAGCCGGAGAGATGCCACGTCCCTGCTCCTCTGCAATGAAAAGCAAGCGAAAGCTCACATCTTGTCCCGCTCGGAGAGGTCACCCCCGAGGGGCCTGCTGCTCCCCCTCCTGCGCCTGCCCATCAAGCTGTGCGGAGGACCAGGCTCCTGCCGGCGGCGCTGGCCCACAACCCCGGGGCCCTGGGCACGCCCCCCTCCCCACCAAGCCCTGCCTGGTCTGCCTGGACCCTGTGCTGGGGCCTGGGCTGTGGGGGTGCCAGCAGTTGCGGGGGTCGAGGCAGAGCCGCGCAGGGGCCCTTCGCTGCCATCTGAGCTCCACTTGGCTGCTGCTGGTGACACGGAGCTGCTCCAGGCTTCCTGGACCTCACGCTGCCGTGTCCCTGACCCTCGCCCTCCTCGCTTCCCTGGTCCCAGCCAGGAGCGACAGAAGCGTGCGTCCTCGCCTGTCTCTGTGCCTGTGTGCAAGGGCCTGGCCCAGTCTGGGGACACTTAATATCAAGCAGTCCTGAGATGGTCAGCAGGTCAGCGCTGCTCCCACTGAGGCGGGACGCACAGCGGGCTGGGGGCTGGCGTCCATGTGAGCCGGTGTGTGCCCCAGGGTGTGAGTTCTGCCATCCTCCCTTGGCCTCAGGAACACGGGCCCGTCTGTCCCCTAGCTGGCACCTCGGTGGACATGCTAGGTGGACCCAAGGGCCTGCCCGCCACAGTATCAACAACGCCTCCGCCCCAGACTGGAGGCTGGGGTTCGAGGCCCACGGGTGAGCAGGTGGTCTTGTCTGCCTAGGTTTTGGTTCCAGAGGTTTCCAGCTGGGCCTACTTAGGAGAAAGGAAGCTTGCTGTCCTCAGAAAGCTGTGGCTACTGAAAGCTGAGGCCTCCTCCCTCACAGGAGTCTAGACCAGTCAGTGATCGGGGGGCCATTGATGGGGCCTCCCCTCACCCTCCGTCATCGCCACAGGAGGCTCACGGCCAGCATCCTTAAAGCCTGTCCTCCCGCGGACCGATACAGATGCCTGTGCTGCGCCCCGCTCCGCGGGTCCGCCCGCCTTGGGCCCTCCTCGCAGGACATGCACACATCACCCCAAGCCACCCTGGGCTGCTGGCTGTAGCCTGGTCAGACCTGGGGGCACCTGCCACACACACATACACTTGGAAGGACCTGTACAAAGACCCTGGCACACGCACGTGGGCTCCAAACCGGGGGGTGCTTGGGGGATCTGCCAGTGATATTTTGGGAGGCAGCTGCCCAGGACCTGCAGGGGCCCCTGAGTGGGGGTCATGAAGGGCTGTGCAGCCCTTGCCAGTATCCAAACCATGGCCTTGAGGACGCAGAGCCCGGTGGGCACTCCCCTAGGACCTCAAACACAGCTGTGTGGGAACAGCAGCACGGAGAGCGCTGCTTCCACAGGCCCCGCCAGACACAGGTGGGAGTAGGACAAAAAAAGAGGGTGTAGGAGTTTCCAGAAGGGCTTCCCAACAGCCCTCTGGGTGGGGGCGGGGGCGGAGCTGGAGCTGGAGGCGGCCCGGACGGCACGTACTGCTGAGCGCGGAGCCCGCCATCCAGCCCCGGGGTTGGGCCCTGGGTCAGGAAGATGGGGGGCAAGCCAGGATGCATCTCCCAGCACGAGGGACCAAGGAACAGGACAGGCAGGCCCTGGGCAGAAGTCGGTGCAGTGGTCCCTGTCCTGCCTGCAACCCCCTCCCGGCAGAACAGGGGAGGGCAGCTTGGGGCTCGTGCCTCTGGCCCTTTGGCTGGGCGCAAGGGTTGGCAGCTGGCGTGAGCAGCAAGGAGTCTGGGTGTTGCCTTCTCAACGCTGGGAGCCAAGTTGAGAAGGGCTGAGGGCCAAGGAAGAGCCCAGCCCGATTCCAGAACCTCAGAGCCCACCGGGCTCAGCCAGTGGCAGCAAGGGGAGGGCCTGAGCAAGGGGCAGGGACTCAGGGCCCACACCCTCCAGGACACCCCCAGGCCCCAGGGGCCGAGTGGTAGGGAGATCAGAGCACACAGGCCGGCCCCACTCTGTCGTGCAGCTGGGGCTCCTTGGGGCTCCAACAGCTCAAGCAAGAGAGGGAAGCCAGCCCTCAAGTACAAGGGACGGACCCACCCAGAAGCCACGGAGCTGGGGGTGGGGGCGAGGATGGGCGGGCAACACCAGGGAGCCCCAGGCACAGGGCACGAGTGCCGGCCTCCTCGGAGATCGGGGCCAACAGGCCTGAGCCCCTTGGTCACGCAGGGGCCCCAGGAGCCGCCTCGCAGACACCGTGCACGCCCTCTGCGGCAACAGAGCTCTGCTCGCTTCCCAGAAGGCTCTAGGCAGGCGGGGGACTTCCTTCCGGGCTGCGCCGAGGCCCAAGGAGCTCAGGCGCCTGCTCCATGGGTTAAGCCAGGGGAGAAGGGACTGGCGCTTGGGGACGGCCTGCACGGGTGTCCGCTCTGGGAGCTCGGGCAGGGGAGCCCATCCCTGCGGCCGGCAGCCGACCGGCCTGTCCGGACAGCACCGCCGGACCACAGGAAGACAGACAGGAGCGCCCCTTCGCAGATGAGTTTTCACCGGGTTAACCTACATACACCGACCCCTCCCGGACATGAAATAAAGAGCAGCGCAGGGCGGGGGGGAAAGGTAAAAGTCATCACGGGTTTATTATTTACACGGTGGTTAAGCACATAAATGCAGTGATCACAGAAACGAGCCAAGTCAGAGACCGGCCACCAGTACACAGGTTGATACAGACGTTGCAACTACATCTCCTGCAGCGGGAGGGCAGCAAGTGTGCACGGACGGACGGACGGCTGGCCGGCCGCACCGCGGAGGGCCCAGGCTCTGCACCCGCCTCTCAAACCCAATCCAGCCATTTCAGGTCGAAGCCCTGACAGGAGTGAGGGCAGGCTGCCCCTCGCGGTCTCCAGCACTCCAGCGGCAGCGGCAGCTGCTAACAACTCGCCCACAGGGGCAGGGCCGCCTCCCACCTCCCGAGAGGGTACTGGGTCACGACAGCCCCCCACCTCGCCCGGACCCAGCCCGGCTTGCGCCGCACCCCCAGAAACACAGCCCCACTTGGCCAAGTCCCTGCTCGGTACTCACAAAGCAGCCAAGAGCCATGCTCTGTGCCATCCGCGCACACCGAACAAACAGGGCGTCCCTCAGACCCATGCTCCGACGCTAGGGGCCCGAGGGGACCGAAAGCGGGAAAACACAGACATAGATGCTCTAGGCCCCTCACTTGCTGCGAGAGCCCCAGTCTCCAGAGCACCCTGCAGTGGGGTGGCAGGAGGAGGGGTGGGCGTACCCACAAACACCGATTATCACACCTGGTTTCCCACAACGGGGGCTCCCGGCTACGGGCTGCCACCACCGCCTGGGCCGCTGCCTGCTATGGAACGAGGGAGTGACCAGGAAAACCACCAGGAGCCCAGCAGCCCCAGTGTCCTTCTTGCAGGACTCAGCCCCGCCCTGCTGCTTGACCCCTGTGGGGTCCGCTCCGTCCCAACGAAGGTCGTGGAAGGAAGCGTGCAACACCGCACCCTCCTGAGTGACTAGGTTGAGTCGCCAGCTTCTTGGCACTTCCGGGTGGATCCCCTCCGGCCGAGGCTGCCGTGGTCACGCCTGGCCCAGCGCAGACGGCCGCACCCTTGGCTCTGAGCACACAGACGTTAGCACACATCGAGGGCCAATCTACACCGATCACGTTTACAGTCAGTTTAGAGAACGTCCCAAATTCAAAGACACTGAGGCGCTGCCACCACCAAAATAACCACACGTGACCCAGAGGAGGCGCCGATGTCTCTCGGTTTGAAATCCTCTCCTGAGGGACCAGCAACGCCCATGCAAAAAGCCTTGGCCTCCGAGGTCTTCCGTGCTCTGCTTCGTTCTCGTGCGTCCGGGGCACCTAGAGGACCGCATCGTGCAGGCGTTCCGGTGTAGGTGGGGGAGGGACGGGGACAGCCAAAACCAGCGTAACGAGGCCACAGGACACACGGCACACGACACACACAGACGCACACACGGCACTTACACACACGTCTACACGGACAGCACTTCTGGTGAGACCACCCCCCTCCACAGCAGGCCACGCGGCGAAGGGACCACAAAGCAGAGGACGGGCGCCCGCGCGCGCTCTGCTCCCTGACTCGCTCGGCCTGCACAGAGACTCCACTCCAGCCTTCGTTCCAGGGCGCGTTCAAGTCAACATCGGTTTTAAGACCGCAAAAACAGACGAGAAAGAAACAATAAAAAGACGGATTTCTTTACACAGATTTAAGCCAGTAATTTTTAGCAAAATGATACAAAACTGTCTTAACCAAGTAGAAGGTCGGTGGCTACAGTGGGCTCGTCAGGGAGCAGGGCGCACCGCCACTGGAGGGGAACCGGAAGGCTCTGGAGCGGGAGTTTGGTTCTCTCTGCAAGTGTCTCTCACACTCTGCTTTTCTTTCCAGCCCGCGACAACCGAGCCCACGTGGGGGGCCCTCGGTGCGGCCCCTGCGACGGCAGCGCTTTGCAGTCTGTCCGGTTTAGTTTGTGTTTTGTGTCCCCCACGGGCGTCGCTGGGTGGGCGGCCTGGAGAGCTCCCGGTGTTAACGTTTCGGTTCTAGACCGGGGGGCGCGTCACTAGTAAAGCCATTGTAACAGAGTAGATCAGCCATGCATTGTCTGCCCTTCACAGCAAGAAGGAGAGTTCTCATCGGTGCACCACAGACTGAGGACCACTGGAAGCCACCCGACCGGGAATCTGTCGGAGCCAAAGCACAGGAGAAGGTCAGCATGAGGCCAGAGGCACGGGGCCGGTGGGTCAGGCTCGGGCACGAAACACCAGTGACGGCAAGGGGACACAGACGCTGCCCAGGCCTACGCTGGACGCCCACACCCCGCCACTCCGGATGGCCCCTCTGTGGCCAGGACACGTGCTCAGCAGAATGAGTGACAGGAAGATGGGGAAGGAGGAAGAGGCATGCAAGCCAGGAGGCCGGGTGGCCACGGAGCTAGAAGCCCAAGACCGATCGCACCAGACAGAGTCCCAGCAGGAAGAAGTACTCGCTCCCAGCACTCCTTCCTGGAAAGTAACGGGTGTTTTGTAAAGTGAGGACCAGGCGCTGTGTGGGCCCTGGGGGTCCCCGTGGGGGGAGGCATGAAAAGCGGCCCCTATCGAGGTGCCCGAGAACACAGCCGCGCCAGAGCTGTGGCCGTCTCCTGGCGGCAGCAAGCCCCGGCCGGAGGGAGCCTGGCTCGGACGCCCAGCCATGCGCCAACGGCAGGGGAGCAGGCGGCTGTGGCTGACGGGTTAATACAGACGGCAGCACGGAAGGGACGCTGAGCAGAGACCGAGCTCGAAAAGAAAAACAAACGAGGACAGAAATAAATGCGAAGGAAGAGAGTGACAAAGCCAGGGCGGCAGAGACCACCAGGAGACTCCCGCAGCGAGCGCGCAAGAGCCCCCACCCAGCACGGCCGCTCGGCGGAGCACGACACGACACACGCCCCGCACCGCGGACTCGGGGCCGGGTGGCTCGAGTGTCCTGGGACCCCTGGAGCCAAGCCCAAGTGCAGAGCCCTGGGCTCCTGCTCCCGCCACAGGCCCCGGACTCTCGAGACTGCCGCAGGGCCCACGGCCAGCCAAGGGAGGGCAGGGTCCTGGGGCCGCCCCGTTCGGAGACGCTCTGGTCCGCTGGCCCCCGGACCGGGTGACCGAGCGCGGCTGCTCTGGGCTCCACACGAGGAAAAGCACTGGGCAGAGGGACCGCACTCTCCCTGCGGCACACCTGGCATGCACGCCCAGTCCCACCTGCGCACCCCCGTGGTGGACACTGGGGGGGTCAGCGCCCGCCCCGCCCGGCGCCGGCTGTCTGGCAAGACCCAACGCGAGCACACTCACCCGGTGCTGCCTTCCAACGGGGAGACGTGCAGCTACTTGCCGTGGTGTTCGAAAGGAATGCTATTCTGAGGTGGGGGGAAAAGAGAGCTGTTGGTAAGGGCTCTGCTGCCAACGGACACGGAGGCCTTCCTCACCTCGCTTCCGCCAGGTCCACCACTGGCTGTGCCGCCTCACGGGGACCCCAGGGACCTGGCGAGTGGCTCCCCAACGAGAGCAGCCGCTGCGGCTCCTCTAGGCCGACGGGCTGATGAGGCCGACTCGGGGCCAGGCAGACCCCTCCTCGCCCTCAGGCAGTGCGCGAACCGACATCCAGACGGCGGCCTCTACACAGGCCCCCCGAGGCTCTGCCTGCTGCTCAGCAGGGTCTGCGCTGGGGCCGGGGCAGGACCGGCCGTGAGAAGACCGAGGGGCCGCAGGCCTTGCTTCGGGAGCACGAATGCTGACCAACCAACCGAAAGGACTGACTGGCTCAGAGACTGGGTCCCCTTCTACCAAGAGCACTGGAGCCAGGAGGCCTTTTCTCCTCGAAGAGAAAAAGCCGCAGTAGGTTCACTGACCAGATGTTCTTCGGGCCCCGTGCTGCCCCGGCTGAGAAGCCAGACTCACACTCGGGGTCGGCAGCGTGGGGACTGGTCTAGCGTAAGCCGCCCTGAGAGGGAAGTCAGGGCAAGGGGCAGCCACCCTCCGGCACAGTCTGAGTGCACCATGGCTGGAGGGGTCAGCGGGGTCCTCCCATAGGCCGGCCGTGGCTCAAGCACCTTCTTGCTGAAGGTGAACTACTCCCTTGGCCTTGAACATCTACACAGGACACAACATCTCCTCCTCAAAGCGCACAAAGAACCCAGAGCAACAGCAGCCACGGGGGAAGCTGGTGGAATGCGGCCTCAGCCCCAGCGGGCCAGGACCACCCGCACCAAACAGAAGCATCACCGGCTCTGCCTGCACCGCGCGTTCTGCGGGGCAAGTGCCACCGCGGCCTACAGACTCGCAGACGCTGGAGCAGCCCCGCTCACTTTGGAACTTCCAACGTCCCGGGGCAGGTGGGGTGCGGGTCAGCCCCTTGCTGCGAGGCTCGGACAGAGCCTCCTGCTGCCTTGCAGAGTCTCCTGAGAAAGCGTGCTGGTGGGTGACCAGGAAAGCCAAAGAAGGGAGCCATCCCTGGGACGGGAGTGCATCCGGGACACCCCCCGGGCTGTGTCCTCGACGTGAAGATCCTTAAAAACCACTGAGGGTGACCGGCGCTTCCTTCAGAGGGGAAACGCCCCCAAATCACATCTCTGCAGGCCCTTCCCTCCCGGCCAGCCCCGTATGCTTGTCCACACGGAAAGCCAAATCGAGAGCAAAGATGCCGGACCCCCGGGTGCAAGCCCGCCTCAGCTAAGGAAGACCGAAGAGGAAGGCTCTGGGGCCAGCAGGCTGAGGCTGGCCACGCCGTGGAGAAGCTGAGCTCAGAACCAGCGTTTTCCTCAGTGGTCCCCAACCATCCCGGTACTTTCTTTTCTCTCAAGGAGAATTAGATTTGCCCCTTCCCTTCATCTCTGCTGGCGGAGGCCCCACACCTGGATCCCGAGTCCAGACAAACCCTGACTACTGTCCCTGACTGGGGTGTTCGGGGCCCCAGAGCAGGCCGCATGCCTGGGCTCTGGGCCACGCGTGGGCAGACACTGCCCAGCACACGTTCCCGGCTGCAGATTCATGGATTCCAGGGCCCATGGGAGAAGCCGTAGCCCTTTCTGTGTCCTGCAGGGAGGGAGGGCTGGGGGCTGGGAGCCGTAACGGGCCCAAACTCTTGACCCTGGCCAGACTCCTTAAGCCCCACAATTCAAACTCCCTGCACCCTGAGTCTCTTCGGGAGAAAATTACCAAACAAACCCACCCCACTTCTGACTGAACCACTGACACACGGGAAGTGTGCAGAGTGACACGGTGCGTTCTCCTGATGAAGCAGAAAGCCCAGGAGCAGCCCTCTGCCCGGCTCCCGCCGCCTGTCTGCCGGAGACCAAGCCGACACCGAAGGACCACGGTTCTGGGCGGTTCTCACAGACCCTGCGCTCTCCTGACCAGCGTGGTACAGCCGCCCGCCCACCCAGCGCCAAGCACTTGCCGACGGCAGAGCCCAGTGCTAACTCGCCGCGAGAGCCGCCACGGTGACCCAGAGGGGTGCTGCCCGAGTGCAGAGTCCAGGACGCGGGCTTCCAAGGCCTTCCTGAAACCAGTGCTTGTCCGCCCAGCAGGCACTACGGGGCACGGGCAGCCCGGAAGAGCCCGCCGCAGCAGCAGAAACGCCCTGTGACCCACCAGGGCCCTGAAGGCTACACGAAGAAGAAAGTCCGTGTGCGTGGGAAGAGCTCATCTGCGGAGTGCACGTGCGCGAACAGAGAAGAGCCGCGGCACCGAAGCCAGAGAGGGAAGAGGATCGAGTGGAGGGGACCCGCGTGGCCCCGCCACTTCCCTGAGGACACCTGCCCTGTCAGAAAGAAGGCAAGTAGGCAGGGACTTCAGGAGACGGGAACCCTCACCCGCGGCACATCGCCTGGTGCCAGGCTCCGACGGGCTGGCCCACGCAACCTTACAGGGGCCGCCAGCCACCCCCCACAGGCTGTGTGTGCCCGTGACGGACGCGGTAGGAGCAGCCAGGGCGCTGCCAGTCTGCACGGGAAGACGGCCCGGCCTCCAGGGCTGGCTCGGGGAGGGGGCCGGGGCCGCAAGGACGGCGGCAGAAGAGAAAAAGCCCCATCGCCTGCTGCGGCACGGCTGGGGAGCCAAGCCCTTCGCCCGCACAGCCCGCCCCAGGCTCCCAACCGATGGGCTGCCCGGCCGCGAGGGGCAGAGTGTCCCTCTCCAGGTAAAACTCAGAATGGGGGAGAAAGGAAAGGAGGGAGGAAGGAAGCCCTTCAGTACCCGCTCCCCAGTCTGCTTGGTGGCCTCAGAGCAGCCCAGACAGAGAGGCCTGCGGCCCGCGGCGCCTGACCTCGGTGAGCCGGGAGTGGTACCCGTGCGGAGCGCGTACCTGAGAGGTGGACATGCGGGAGGTGTCTTGCCGGCCCGTGAGATCGGAGGATGAGATGTTGACAGGGGCGCCGCGGTGCAGCCGCATACTCACTTTCCGCTCTCTTTCCACACCGGACACGGGCCGAGGAGAGGTGTTAGCTGGAGGGGGAGACAGGAGGGGCGGTGAGGGCTTGGGGCAGACCCCCGACCCAGCACGAGGGGGCCTCTCCTCAGTGGTCTCGGCATCCAGCACCCCAGGGGGGGTGGGCGCTGCCACACACCACCAGATTCCCAGGGCGGCAACAGGCAGCGGACCCCTAGCCGGCCTGCACTCCCAGCTCGAGCTCAGCAGCAGTGGGCAGGGCCCGCGGAGCACTGCCGGATGCCAGCGTGCTGGCCCTGGGGGACTCTCCCAGGAGCGAGGCACAGGAGTCCAGCAGGAGGGCAGCCTAAGGCCCCCGTGCTTCCAGGGTCGCTCACGGAGGCGATAGAGGGGCGGGTACTGAGAGACTCGTACGGAGCAATCCGTGTCATGAAAAAGAGAAACGATGGAGAAAAAGAAAGAGACGTCCCCTGGCCGGCCAAGCCTCAGAAACCAGAGTCTACCAGGACCAGAGGCACTCAGCCCCGCCCGCAACGCATGCCCGCCGTGCGCCCACCTGGGGCCCTGTGGCTCCAACAGCCAGAGCGGCCGACACACAACCAGAACCCTCTGGGGCCTGCTGGGGAGACATGGAGCTAGCCCACTCACCAGTGTGTGAGGTAGGGGTGAGGGGGGTGGGCGGAGCCACTTCCTGGGTGCCGCGTAAGCGGCCAGAGGCCGTGGAGGGGAGGCCACGGGCGGCTGGGTTTCGGGAGTGCCTCAGCCGCTCCTCTCGGTCCCGGCGCTCCCGCTCAGCATCGTCGGCGGCCCGGCCGGCTCCCTGCAAAGGAAACAGCGTAAGACCCAGCTGAACGGGGTTTGGTGCAAGACAACCCCAAGGGCCCTGGCTGTCCCCTGCTGTCCGAGAAGCCATCCAAGGTGATGTAGCCGGTTGGCACGAGGCCTCCCTCCCTCGAAGACAGAAGCCTGCCCTGGACCCTGGGAGTGTATGGATGAGGCCTTCCCAGCATTTCCGAACCCCAAACACGGACGGCAACTCGGTGGCCTCTTCCCCCTGGGTATCCACACAGGGACGGGAAATCGTATGAGGACGGGTCAGTGGTGGGCCTGAGGTGCTGGCATCTAGGGGATCCGAGAGGCACGTGGAAGCGGTGGCATCTGGTTGGCAGGGGCCCAGCCAGAGCCTGGGCGATGTGGGGCCAGGGCCCACGTGACAAGAGTGCAGGCAAACACGGCTAGTTCTACTTTGAGCGAATGAGGACCCAGGAGTGGGGGCAGGACTCCGGGGCCGCTGCAAGGAACAGCGCTGACGCATCTGTCTGCAAACCGCGGCCCACGAGCCGAATCCAGCCGGCGGTTTCTGCCAAAGAACCTTTACTGTTGCAGCCACACCCACCGGTGCCCACTCCGCCCGCGGCGGCTTCCCAGCCGCAGCGCAGAGCCGAGCACTTGTCCCACCACATGCACACTGTGAAGCCCAGGAGATTCTCTCTCCAGCCCTGCCCGGGGAAGGGCGGCCAGCCCCACTGGGAGGGCGAGGATACCAGAAGGTCGCCCCGACACTGGGCGATCGGGGGTCGCACAGCCCGAGCCACCTGCTGTGGGGCACCTGCTCTCCCCTGCAGGGCACAGACCCTGCACAGACACCCTGGCACCTGCAAGGCCACAGGACAAGCCTTTCTGTCTTACGCCCTCTGAAGAGGAGGTTCCACTCCTCCATCAGATCTTGTCACTCTGGAAAGGTCCCAATTTCTGTTTTAAGCTAACTAAACAGGAAAAATTTGTAATGGAAAATGAAGTAGAAGTTCCAAAAAGACCCTGAAACTTCCTGGCAACAGTGTCTGAAAATTAATTAATTAGACTCATACAAGAGACTCGGACGGGACGCCAGATTAAAAGAAGGAAAACATCAGGTGCTTCTGGGGGGCTCAGTGGGTGAAGTCACTGCCTTCGGCTCAGGTCATGGTCCCGGGGTCCTGGGATCGAGCCCCGCATCGGGCTCCCTGCTCGGTGGGAGCCTGCTTCTCCCTCTGCCTGCTGCTCTGCCTGCTTGTGGCTCTCTCTCTCTCTGACAGATAAATAAATAAAATCTTAAAAAAAAAAAGGAAAACATCAAAGCTCGAGGCCTGCACGTATGCAAACAGCTGCACCCATTTAACAAGCCGGCAGCAAAGCCCACCCTGCTCGCTTGCCTGCACGGCTGAGTCAGAGGGACGCGGGGCAAGAGGTCACCCCACCTGGCCGGAGACCATGGCCTCGGCCATACCCTCCTGCACGACACGCACTCTGGAGCCACGCTGACAGCTGTCACACACGTACCTTCCAATCACAGGTTTATCAGTCGAGAGGGAGCCGCAGTTCCACGCGGACCTGCACTTGGGAGACCCACTCTGCTGGCGCCTGGGGCCCAGCGCCCACGTGGCTGCCTCTGCTCTCCCTTCATGGGGCTCTTGCTTCTCAGGACGTCCCACCCTGGGGGGCCCCACCCGGGCCCCTCGGCCCCCAGTGCGGTGGACGTGCCTCCGAAAGCCTGCCCGCGTCCGGCGGAGCCTCTGGCTCCCTTCTGTGCTGGGGGTGAGCGAGCTGGCGCACTTACGAACTTGAGCATGTTCCAGTCGAACACGTAGTCGTAGGAGAAGCCCTGGCGGTGGAAGAGGTTCCTGAAGAGCTGCCGCAGGTAGGAGTAGTCAGGCTTGTCGTCAAAACGCAAGGAGCGGCAGAAGTTCAGGTACGTGGCGAACTCAGCTGTGAGACAAGAGACGTGGCGCTCACCAGCGCTCCCTGACTGGGTGTCCGGCGACATGACGGCCACCATCCACTGTCGCACGCTTAGGACGCGGAGACACGGCGTCTCAAAGGGTCACACGGGGCACGGACGTTTAAGAAAAGCACCACAGAGCACAGCTAGTGCCACCCGCGGCCTTTCTCCACACGAACGAGGAAACTCCCTGGGTCATGGCCCCAGAAGGTAAAGGAGCAGCAAGGACAGAAGGCTGCCACCAGCTCAAGGACATTCTTCACTGTCTGGGACCCAGCCTCCCCGCACCACCCCTATCGCCACCCCAAGACCGCGGCCAGCCCGGCGCCTGCCCTCGGGGACACGCACAGGGGTAGCTTTTACACAGCACTTCGATGGGAGTGGACATCTTCTTCTCGCTGATCCGCTCGTACTTCTGCCTCTTGGTGGCGGCCTTCAGCCCCTGCCAGGGCAGAGAGCCCAGATTGAAGTACATGAGCACGTAGCCCAGTGACTCCAGGTCATCTCTCCGGGATTGTTCTGGGAAAGATGGAAACGGGTCAAGGACAGCATGTACGCGCCTGCAGCCGCAAAGCTAAGACCCCAGGCACATTCTGACTGTAGAAGCGAACTTGTCAAACCACAGAAAAATAGTCTTGGATTCTGTTTTACCAGAAGTTGCCCGTGATGTGCCCCTAGGAAACTGTGACACCCCTGGATGAGTTACACCAATGTTACAAGGAGTGTCAGGATGTCCGACCACTCATTTACCTGCCGCCACCAAACCTCCCAACGGGTTTTCCAGAGTCGGGAGAGCTAGACTTTGCTACAAAGGTTTGACGACAGCCTCCATGCCAAACGTGCTGACCACTTCCTCAGGGTCCCCCAAGAGGCTGGCCTTTCTCTTAAGAGATGGCCATGCCCAAGGCAGCCTAGTGACCAGGGGCACGGGAGACCCCAGCACCCACGGGCTCACCGATTCCAAGGTGCGTGTTGATGGAGGCGTACCGCGCCGTCCCAGTGAGGTTCTTGTTCTCACGGTACGGGATGTGCTGGTGGGTCCGTGCGTCCCGGTACTTCTTGGCCAGCCCGAAGTCGATGATGTACACCAGGTTGCCCTTCTTCCCCAGCCCCATGAGAAAGTTATCTGGCTTCACGTCCCGGTGGATGAAATTCTTTGAGTGAATGTATTCAATGCGACTGATCTGCAGGCAGGGAAGTAGTGACCAGAGTTTGAATTCCAGCAGCAGCCTCGGGAAAGGCCCCTGCTTGGCAGAGGGACGGCTGTGCCCTCAGCTGCACGTCCTGCGGCCCTTGGCCCTTGGTCAGAGCAGAACAACTCCACAACCAGGGAAGGCTGCTCAACAGACCATCTTCCACACCCCTGATTGGCCGGGGCAGGTCCCCTCGTTGGCCCCCTGGGTGGGGGTCGACCGACAGCAGCCTGATGGGACCACCCCTCCCTGACGAGGGTCTGCACCAGCAGTCCTTCCTACAGGGACCCGCTGGGAACCACCCACAAGTCTGCAAACCCAGCCCCCAGTCACAATCCTACGGCAAAGGTGACTGCACCCCCACCCTCTCTCTGGGCACTAAGAGGCACAGGAGGAGAATGGCACCCGGGCGTGCCATCAGACTGTTGACTCACACCAGGCCATGTCCTGAAGGCCCAGGCTCCCTGTCACCTCAGAGACACGATTCTTACCATCTGGTCAGCAAGCAGCAGGACAGTTTTGAGGCTGAATTTCCTCGAGCAGAAGTTGAACAGATCCTCCAGGCTTGGCCCCAACAGCTCCATCACCATGACGTTGTAGTCCCCCTCCGCCCCGCACCACCGGATGGTGGGGATGCCCACTGCAAGAGAAACCCGACACGCCTGTGCTCGCATACAGGGGCACAGGGGACATGAGAGCCAGGCAGGCAGTGGCTGGAAGCGACACTGGGAGAGAACGGGAGGGCGTCCCAGGCGGTGGGTGAACAGGTGCCAAGGCGGCTTCCTACAGGCAAGGAGCGAGCGGCGCGGCCCAAACCAGGAACCCGCCTGGCTCGCTGGCGGTAACCAAAGTCCACTCTGCTCAGGTGTCCTTGGTTTTCCTGTCACACCCTCTCTCCGCCCCGGTCGTCGTGTCTCCCAGGCTCCTCGGGGCCGAGCCGACTCTCACGTCCCTGGTTTTGGGGGACCCGGCAATTCTTGGCGGGGGGTGGGGGGTTCTGGCGCCATCCCTCCGTCGGGATCGTGTGAGGACGGGCGACGGGTTTGGGAAGACCGCAGAGCTGAAGGGCCTTCTCATTGCCTCACACCAGGGGTCTCTGTTCTCAGCGGGACTCGTCACCAAGGACGGGGCCTTGACCCCGGGCTGGGGTGTGTTCGTTCTCCCCAGTGTGTGTGCTGTTCTCTCTGGAAGGACGGCACTCCGTGGAGCCCACACTCTGGAGATGGGGGGGGGCGGGTCTTGTTCTACTTCCTGAGGGCAGAGCACCTGCACACAGTACTCAGGTTTGTCTCTTCCCTCCATATACTCACTGACTGATTTTTTAAAGATTTTATCTGTCAGAGAGACCACAAGCAGGGGGGCAGCAGCAGACGGAGTGGGAGAAGGAAGCTCTCCACTGAGCACAGAGCCCGATGCAGGGCTCGATCCCAGGACCCTGGGGTCATGACCCAAGCCGAAGGCAGACGCCTCACCGACTGAGTCACCCAGACACCTGAATTTCATTGTTTTTTTATTAAATCTTTTTTTTAAAGTATGCATGCTGTATAGTATTCCCTTTGGAGAAAAGGTCACAGTTCATCTGTTCTTTCATCTGGACTATCTGGGTTAGCTTCTACTACAAACGGTGCTCCTAAGTACACCCTTATTTATGTTCACGGGTGGACATTCTTACACACGAAATTCTTGTTCACATCCAGCCTCCCCGGCACAAGCCTACAAACACAGAGCATAAGCTGTGTGACTATGAGGTAATGTCACCTTGTTTCCCAGACGGACCGGACCGCCCACCCCACACGCCCAGCAGCAGCGAGCGGGTGCGAAACCACCTGATTGCTTGTCATCAGCCGAGGGGTGTGAGCCAGCGTCTCACTAATTCTCAGCTGGGATCTTTCATCTGTAAATTTACTGGCCACACGCTGTTCCTCTCTGAAATGTCTACCCTTGTCTTTTGCCAATTTTCTTATAGGGAGACTTTTGTCTATTTATAGCCATTCTTTAAAAATTCTGGGTACTAAACCATTGTTGATTTCATGTGAGGCAATTTTTTTTTTCTTCAGGAGCCTTTTGATGAGAAATTTTAACAAAGACAAACATATCATTCTTTTCCATTATGAGGAATGTTTTTGGTATAAGAAACCCTGAGTCAGAAACAGATACTATTATTATCTTTAAAGAGTTTAAAGGCTACTCTGTATCAAACAAGATGGACTGACAGGAGCCCAATTCCCACTCATACTGGCAAAGACCAGCAGGCTGGAAACACAGAACACGTGGAAAAATGGTTTCTAAGACATTAAACGGGAGGCAGCGAAAACACTCAGAGCTGAAGGACAGGACAGAAGCCACGTGGGCCTAAGACTGCCCCTTCCTCCCTCGACTATCGGCAGAAACGCAAACACTGAACAGAGTAAAGTAACTTGACTTCACCCCATAACTAAGTAGAGAAAGAACCTGAGCAACAGAGTAGAACACCAAGCACGTAGGCAAGTAAAACTCATAAGGTCCGGCATCCAGAGACTTGCAGGGATGCGGAGCAGAGAACATCTCTACTGAGGAATCATCGATCACCTGAAATGGGTTCAGATGCGAGAATGGGCACAGGAGGACAGTAAGAGTTACTACAGGGGCAGTAAGAGTTACTCAGTCAGTTAAGTGTCTGACTCTTGATTTCAGCTCAGGTCATGATCTCAGGGTCGTGGGATCGAGCCCCGAGTCTGGCCTGTGTCTGGCTCTGCACTCGGTGGGGAGCCTGCTTGAGATTCTCTCTTTCTCCCTCGATTCCTCTCCGCTCCGTGTGCCCTCTCTCTCTAAAAATAAATGGACAGGGGCACCTGGGTAGCTGAGTTAGCTAAGCATCCGCCTTAGACTCAGGTCATGATCTCAGGGTCCTGGGATCAAGCCCCGCATCAGGCTCTCTGAGCAGCAAGGAGTCTACTTCCTCCCTCTCCCTCTGCCTACCACTATGCCTACTTGTGCTGTCAAATTAATAAAATCTTTAAAAAAAAATCTAAATAAAAATAATTACAAATTCTAGTTAAATTCTGTGTCTAAAAAGCTACATGAGGGCATGGCATGGGAGATTTATAAAAGACTCAAATCCAACTTTTAGAGGTGAGAACTACAGTATCTGAGATTAGATGGTGCAGAAGAAAAGATGTGTGACTCGAAGGCAAAGCAATAGAAACTACTGGAAAAGCAAGAGGAGCCAGCTTCAAGCCACCTAATATCTATACCACCAAAGCCCCTAGGAAAGATGGAGGGGGACAGAGACGGCGCTGGAAGCGGCCGGATGAAGACAATTAACCCACAGACCGCACACAAGAGCCACAAAGACCTTCACATCCATGTTCGTGCCCTCCTGATCACATCACTCACAATGAGGGACACGGAGAGCATCTCGAAAGCAGCCGGGGGGAATTCGTATCACATCAAGAGGGCAAACACCAGCATCGCTGCAGACGTCTCAGCAGAAGGGAGGCACAAAGAGCACAGGAGGACAGCATCTTTCAAGCACTGAGGACACCAACCTCCAAAAGCCAAGACAAATGAGATTTTCAGATATAAAAAAGCTGGAAGAATCCTTCAGCAGCAGACCTGCACTGCTACATACGGGAAAGGCCACCCTTCGGGCAGAAGGCAAGAGATGCCAGCCGAAGTGTGGGCCCACACAAAGGGACGGAAAGCACTGGAAGTAACAACTAAGTTCACTCATAAGAGCTTTTAACATTACTTCAATCCCTTTAAAAGCTAGAACTGTTTAAACAAAAATAACAATGCGCAAACGTCCGTGCTGCAAGACAGCGTCACAGGGTCCCGTGGCGGGGAAGCCATGTGCGCCGTCGCAGGCCCGTCTGCTCCACTCCAAGCACGGAATGCGGCAAGGACACAGCACGATTTGTTCAAGACGACGCGATAAACCCTAACTCAGGCACTGAGGTAACAAAGAGGTGCTGGTGAGCCAGCAGAGGAGCAAATCATAAGAAAAACCATTAAGAGATGCAAATATAGGGGCACCTGCGTGGCTCAACTGGTGACTCCCGTTGGCTCAGGTCATGACCCCGGGGTCGTGGGATCGAGCCCCAAGTCAGGCTCCCTGCTTTGCAGGGAGTCTGCTTCTCCCTCTACCTCTGCCTGCTGCTCCCCCTGCTTGTGCTCGCCTTCTCTCTCTGACAAATAAATAAAGGCTTAAAAAAAAAAACTGTAGATAAAATGATTAATCAAAAAGAAGGCAAGGGAGGAGGGGAGACAAAACCAGCAGCAAGATGGTCAACCAAACCCTGGTGGGTCAGGAACCACATCAGGCGTCCATCCTCTCAACACACCACACGAGGTGCGTTTTGTCAGACGAGAGAGAAACGCGCGTCTTTTCCACACAGGCAGGTTGTCAGAAGGACAGCGAGGGACACCAACTTTAGACGGAAGGGGACACGAAAGCCGGGTCGGCACGGGACGCGTAGGCTGCGGAGAGCGTTTCCAGGGACATGCGTGTTACAAGGATAAAGCACCAGCGTGTCCGGGAACGCAGCTCCACGCGGCCCCCGGTGCAGCCTCAGGACACGCGCCGTGGAACTGCGAGCGGACGGACACGCGCACCGGCCCACAGCGCCCTCAGCAGCCCCCGGGGCAGCGGCGCCGCGGGCCGTCAGCGGACAGAGCCCGCAGCGAACGGAGACGGGCCTGCGCCTTCAGACGACGGTGGAATTTGGTCGGAAGTGACAGGGAGCTCCCTGGGAAGCCCCCAAATACAGAGAAGCTGCATAACCCACTTCAAAATAACCCACGGACCAGGGAGCCATCGGGAGGGGAACAGAAAGCTTTCTCAACTAAATGAAAATGAAAACACAACATGTCAGGGTTTATGAGACGTGCTCCAGGAGCACCTGGGGGAAACTTATAGCAACAAAGCGCCTGTGTCAGAGAAGACAGATCAATGATCTCAGAAAACGGGAAATTAAACCCGAACAGATGAAATACAAATGATCACAGCAGTAATCAATGAACCAAGACACAAAGAGAGAAAAATTACAGAAACCAAAGCATCTTTGAGAAGATTTCTGGTAACCCTCTCGCCAAGCCGGCGGGAGAAAGAGAGAAGGCGGAGGGAGAGATCAGCCACCAGCAGGTTCCACAGCCGCTGAGAGGCTAGCGGAGCAGCACTGCAAACGCGTTCTGCAGTCAGGTCCATCACTCAGGCGACACGGATGAGCTGCTGGAAAGACACCATCAAAGCCGCTAACTGCTGGTAAGGGTGTAAGGGACAGCCACCTGGAAAGCAGCTGTGTATCAAAAAGGAAAAATATTCACCTACTTCTGATTCTGCCATTCCAGTCCTAGACACTCACCCACGACAAAAGGAAGTGTCCACGCAAATACCCACACAAACGTTTAGAGCATCTTTGTTTGAACGCCCACGACTCGGGGAGGGATGGAGAACATGCTGGATGCACCCAGGGGCCACTGCATGGTACCGTGAGGACAACTCTCTCAGGGGCCAGGCCGGCTTCCTCGGGCTGGCCGGAGGTGAGGGCAGAAGGGTGCTGCGGCCGCTGAGGTCACAGCCATCGCTCCAGACACACCTGTTGCTTCTCACTGTCCCAAAGAACTGTGCCCTGAGGCCCACATTCTCAGGCTTCCAACTGC